CTAGAGGCAGAGCCAGCTGTACCCGCCCCCTCCCCGTCCGTTCCGCCAGTCAGCGCTGGCGGATCGGAGCGGGGAATCCCGCCCCTCTCCTGTCACGGCAGAGAGCCGTGACAGGATCGAGAGGTGAGCGAACGCCGGTATGTGTTCTCTCACCTTCCGATCTACTGAGCCGACCTGTGACAGTCTCACTGTCACAGGTCGGCTAGAACTATGAGGTGAGTGAAAAGCACTCACCTCATAGTTTTCCTTTAACCTTTCAAATTGGAAAGTAGTAAAATCCCTTCATTTGTTGCACTAGAGTCCCATAGTTTTACATTATAAATACTTCTTCGGCGAAGACTCCGTACAGAAAGGGATATGGGACAGCTCACCGTTGCTAGATTCTCACAGCGGGAATGTATGGCCTGGATGAAGAGACCACTGGCAGCTGAGTTTCTGTGTATTGCACTAATAAAATCTTGCACCGGCGGTTCATGTGACAGGTAGATGAGATCCTGAACGTGATTAACTATCAGCCAGGTAAGATGCTCTGAATCATGCAGGTTCTGACACTACAGCACAAAAAAGGAAAAAGAAAAACGTTAGCAGCTATACAGTTGAATCAGACGTAAATGTTTAAAGCTTATCACAGGACAATTTTAAATCAGCCGTTTATGACAAGGTGCAATATTCAGCTTTACTTAATGAAGAGTTGTGTTTACCTTAAACTTTAACTTTGCTTATTTTGTGTAAGCCTGACCCTTTGGGCATGATTTATAAAACTTCCTGCCACTAGATGGAGATGTGGAGAGAACGGCATTCGCCTAGCATATGGCTGGGCAGAAGTTTTTTTTAAAACTCATCCCCTTTACCTTAAGTGACGGTGATCAGTGGGGACCTCATGTCTCACATATACTTCACCTTTTTCCCCTGTCAGGCAGACTTTGATTGCTGCCGCAAACAATTTCAATCCGGCCTACGATTCTTCCCCTAGGCGGCTTCTCTACAATCAACTAAGCTTGGCTACCCGTCCCAGGATGTTGGTGGGCAGAGTCTAGCCCTATATGCAGAGGCAGATTAAGACAGCATGGGGACCTAGGCAGGGTGCGAGCTTTGGGCCCTCCATCCTTTTGATTGACATCAATAAGGATTGCTATGGGTACAAAGAAACACACCATCTGCATTGTATGTAGTGGTGTAGCCCACTTCAGCAGACACCCACTGCCTAGAAGTACATCCACCTTTGAGAAGAGACAGGTAAGGAGAATGAAGGTTGTGGTTTGGCCCCCTGGACATTCGATGGGCCCAAAGTTCCTGCCTAGGTTGCCCTGTGGATCATCTAGCTCTGACTATGCTAGTCATAAAAATCTCTGCCACCTGAATAATGCAAGCAGTCTGGCCACATGGAAAGTACAGTTTTTACTCAAGTCTAGCAAAGTGACAAGAAGGATTGTATAATGCACTCTTTTGTGCAGAGTCTGCACGCACTTGGAGGCTAGGTTCACACCAGATGCAGTGCGTTCCGGCCCGAGCGCACTGCATCGCGGCCGGCTCGCTTTTTTGTGGGGCAGGAGGGGGGCGTGGCGGGCCATTGAAGTGAATGGCACCGTAGCCAAGCCCTCCGGCCGCAATGCGATCTGCCACACGGGATCGCAAGGCACATTGTTCCTGCAGTCCGGTCCAGTGCGATCAAAATGCTGCAAGCACTATTTGGATCGCACCGCCACGCCCCCTCCTCCTCACAAAAAAGTGAGCCAGCCGCAATGCGATGCAGTGCGTTTTGGCCTGAATCGGGCCGGAACACACTACATCTGGTGTGAACCTAGCCTGAAGCACAAGTCACTTATTGTTTGTCGTGATGTGCATATAAAGGGAGACTTGTTTGCACCTGTAAATTGTATACGTTGCACTTGATATCTGCACATTTATGTATATAAGGGAGGATTAGCACATTTTATGCACAGTTTGTACCTGACAATTGCAAAAGTTGCACTTTACTATAAATTTGCACATTTAAAAAAAAATGTTTATGCTTCGTTTTGCTTATGACACTTTTAGAAGAGTTTTGTTGAGATTAATAGCGCCACACTTTTATATAGAATAAGACAAGAAGGAGCTGTTACTGCTTGTACTAAACTCCCAGATATCAGAGATATTTGAAACTCAAGAAGCTGCTGCATTACATGTGACCCAAACTTGGAGAAGGCAATTAAACCAGTAAATGACATTTTAAATACTTTTTACACATTGTTCTACGACTGAATGAGGCCAATGAGCAGCGCTTTACTAGGAGCGCTGGCTGTAGCTTTAAACAAGCATATAGCAGACATCTAGGAAGTTACAGCATGGCTAAAGGCAAAGTAAACAGGCCTGGTATAAACAAAATCCATTATATTAGTGGCTGTATTTTTTTTTGTACTCACCACATAGTCACAGAATAGAATGAGGGCTCCTCTCCGCACAATCTCCCGGTTACACATGCCAAGTTTGGACTCCGGGTGAGGCTCATCGCTATCAGTTGACATCTGGGGACTTAGCAGCAGTTTGGTACTAGACAGGCTGTTCCTCCTGTACACAGTGATTAAATACACAGCTTTAATGTCTGCACTTGTCTGACACGTTAGCTTATTTAATAGGACAATGTAAAGGGAAGTATTGAAGTAGAATATCTACTAACCCATGGCATGCAGGCTTCGCCTCTCATTATTTCACAGCAGACACTTTAATGAAAGGTGAACTACTGTGCGTTACTTTACCCTACTCTGCACAATGTCTTTGTATGGCAGCAGAAGAATACAAAGCTGAGCACACAAGGGGATCTGACAGCTCTTCTGCTAATGATCAGAAGCTAAGAGAATCCTCTTCTCAGCAGACATATAGGTCTGCTGCCTGTAGTCAGCGCACTGTGGTGCCATCTTTAAATGTGCAACCAGCAAAGAGAATAGAATAGTATAGTAACATGTAGAAAATTAAATGGGCACATTAAAAAAAATAATTTGCAGTACAGCTCTGCAATAAATGCACATTTAGTTGTGCTTAAGTTCTTTAAAATGCTTTAAGTACAAACACAATACTTGCTGATCCTGCCAGAAATACAGTGACTGCCTACCATTCTGGTGTGATATGACAAAGCTGCTTCTGCTGCACTTAAATCACAAGCAGTACTGCCAGCCCTGCCTGAGTTCTTCCCTGCTGGACTACAGAATTCCTCCCTTATACCATGGTGATGAGGACAGGGAGGTAGTCCAGCAGAGAACTGTGCAGGGCTGACAACACTCCTTGGGATTCCAGTGCAACAGAGACACTGTAATGTCATCCTAAAAGCAAGTTGTTGGAAATGCAACAGCATATACTTAAGTGTAATTTGTCTTTTGAGCTGTAGATGGCACTGTAGTGTAATGCTAGTCTCTATGTGCATGCCTATCTATGATGCACAGGAATCTCTTTTCTCTCCGTTTTCCTCACAATGCTGTTTACATACATGTAATGTTCTTCTAAGATCAAGATCTCAGTGCTTCATCTAAGCACATAACCAACGCGAGGGACCGGGACAGCAGACTTAGAAGAGTATACATTTATTTCACAAGGTAAGAAAATAAGACAATGTGCAGGGCATGTTAGAGGGGTGGCTGGGAGTAATATTTGCCTGGAGATGGGCTTTAATAGTGAGGAATCCTCCATATTTTGGTTGGCCTGTTTTAAAATAGATCGAAACCCAATAATGAATATCTCCTATACACTTTAACATAATAATGCATGTTTAAAAGCTGTGTTGAACCTTTTTAAATCTGCAGTTTTCCTGAAAAGAATGCCTGGTGATCCTGCCATCCTTGTTCAAGTGTTTCCTGTTATGGGGTGACAAAGCTTTGTCCCCAACTCACAATTGCTCTCCTGTGCTGAGCACCTAGCAGAAACTAAAAGCGCCCATGCCGACAATCATTATGCAGATATTGTCCACTGTTCTCCCTTTTTTTTTTTCTATGACCCCTAATGTCACCTGGGGACCTCCAAAGAAGCTGATGAAGCAGAGCTCTGGCTAGCAGCCAGAGAAATGACAGCTAAAGGTGGACGTGATGTAATACACATTGCTTCCGCCTTTAGAGAGAGAAGGAGGAGGGATCAGTCGTGGGGAATGCTGATCTCTCCTCCTTCTCTGTGGAGAGTGCTGCTGTGTTGCAGGTGTTCTCAGTCCCCGCCACCACATGGCCGACTGTAAAGCCGGCCGAACGCTTGTATGTAACAGCCGGTCCGGAGGGATTCTAGGGGGCATGCACGAGTAGACAAGAAAAAGAATCATGCAAATGTATGTCCACCCGCCGGGAAGCAACCGCTGTTTAAAGGGTTAAAGCACAAAATGTACCAAAATAAACAAAAAATAAATGTGAACACTGGGAGGATCAGCTGTACATTCACAAGACTAACTGAAGAAATTGCTGAATTATATTAAGTGTCTCCTGACAGTGAATAACCGGCTGCACATTAGGTGAAAGGTGGTAACCATGGCAGCAAAGACTTAATAACTCGTTAGGCTTCCCAATTAATGATATGGGACCAAGTAATTATGTATAAATTGGTGGAACAAATTGTACTTTGGGTGATCGCTGTGTAGGAGTAAACATTGTATTTATGAAAAAGCATGTCATATTCGATTTGTGTGCACAGTGCCATGTACTGGTCTTCCTCCTCCGCTAACTAGGGTTGTGTTTAATGGCAAAGCCTCCTAAGTATGCCATGCACCAACTCTGCTTATATTAACATGAGTATGACCATATGAGGTCACAAGCTGAGAAAAAAAGACAGAAAGTCCACAAATAATCCAGGGAAGACTTAGCCAATTCATAAAGCAACAATATGGCCTAACCATGGCCAGATCCATGCGTCACACAAAAAAAAGAAAAGACACATGTGCTTTGCTAATGCGCTTCGCACTTTACTTGTTTCAGGACTTTCAAACAAGTGAGAAAGTTTGTCAAATTAAAAGCGGACCGTTACCTGTATCTTCAAAATAACAACAAAGGCACCTCTAGAAATGTTTAGTAATGACAATCTAAATAATTGCCGGATTTTTATTCTTTGCATATCTTATTTCTCTTTTCTTCCCCAGTCTTCGCACAATGGCCATTTTTTACTAAGGGCAGATTAATATCTCCCTTTACTTCCTGGAACTTCTGGCACATGTGACTAGGACATGTGACCATGCACATCATCTCAGGGGAGGAAAATGCCTTTCCCTGAGATCTCGTGAGATTACAGATGAGATTTCACAGCAATGCTCTGCTGATTGAACCTTCCCAGGATGCAACACTTGGGCACATTACATCACTAATGCCCAAGAGATGCAGGAATTAGAAAACGAGAAATTGTAAGTAAAATGAAAATATGTTTGTTTAGTGAATGTAAGATGATTTCATATCAGCATGTAAAGCCGCATGCTTATGAGCATTTTTAGGATGTAAAAGGTTCACTTTACAAATTCCCAGTGTAATTCTTCTTATAATTATTCAAAAAGTTAAACAAATTTAAAGTGTATGAACA